AATTTACAATGACATTATCAAATCTCACAATGCCCAGCGATATTTCAGCAGCCGTCATGTTTATTTACATTGGATATTGTAGTTCCGGTCAGTGTTGTAATTAATACGCTAAGAATTGTGTCGCGTGCGGCATGGTAATTATGTCTCGTGCGGCATGGTAATTAAAGTCCCATCAACGACACAGCTTTCAAAGAGGCTATATAGTGACAATGCCATGCAAATGTAAATATAAGTTGCGTAAATTTATCTGGATTTAGAGCAACAAAATGAAGAAGTTTATGCTGAATTTACCCAACGACCAACTGTCAAATTAATATTTCCGTTAGAAATATTTTTCGCTGTTTGAGTGCTCTATAAGAAACAAAGAATAAAAGTACATGTATAAGTAAATATTGATTTTTTTCAGCATGTGACAACGGTACATTTGGGTTTAACTGTAACCAGAGATGTTACTGCGATTCCAGCACCTGTGATGCTATCAACGGGACATGTGACAGTAGTGACCTTTGTCAGAGCGGCTGGCAGGGTTCTACTTGTAGTCAAGGTCAGTCATCATAAACTAGTGGTATCAAATCCAGAATGTGATACAAACTAAATTACACAACAACAACAACAACAAAAAAGAAAAAAAAGCAGAAATATAAAGTTCAAATAAAGAAAAAGAGAGGTTGCTCGGGTATAGTATTACCTCCGTCTCGTACTATGACAAAGCTCAAATTAAGGTTTCACCGATATCTATTTGTACCATTATTATAAAATGGATGATTTGTTTTGCAAGATTCGCTTTTTCTTGGAACAATCCTAACTGGGCGATGCATGTCAAATATACACGAAAATTCCCCCAAAAATATAATTTTATCAAAAACGTAAAGGTCAGTTATTAACCAATGAGATACCTTTCTATATTCATTTTCTACTTTCGTAAGCAACACCCTTTTAAAATAAGAATACTTTAAAACATCCCGTACAAATTACAATACACACACCCAGCACGATCCACGAGTATCCATGTAGTACCTACATAAAGAAAATTAGCTTATGATTTTTGGAAGAAATATTTTAGAATGCATGAATTATTTCACAAACAAGTTTTACACAAGATGCGATAAATTGAATTATTTTCTTAACTCTTTGTCATCTTCTTATATTTTTATTTTTCTATCAATTGTTAGCATGTCCCTCTGGGAAATATGGACCTAATTGTGAGAGTGACTGCCACTGTCGGACTGTCACATGTGACCGAAAGAACGGGATCTGCCCATTCGGAACATGCCAAGATGGATGGAAAGGTGTCTCGTGCAATGAGAGTGAGTGATCATTCCAGTTTTAGCTTATAGTTTTCAGTTCGTACACCTTTTTAGGACGCTAAATGCTATTGTTGAAAACGAAAAAGAAATCATTGAAAATATTGTGAAGAGGAAGGTTTTGCTTTAGCTTTGCCATGAATGTCGATGGAGAATTTAAAGATATCCAAATGCAATGGATATGTTATCCAGGTTATGTCGTCCGAAACGTCCGAAAATTAGTACTGATAAGTTACATATATGTCTTTAATACAAAGGAATCAGTGCATAAGATACACGTTTTTGGTACAGTGTATTATATATATAGAACTAGTACAATGTTCAGTGTAAGAATTCAGTACAATATATGCATTGTACAGAACAACACTTATTGCAAGGTATACGATGAATAGAATACACGACCTAGGTATAATATATAGTGTATATAGCACAATCTTCAGCACAATGTATGCAGTCAGTGTGTTTTACACTCTCATAAAGCAACCTGTTGTATGTTTAACACGTTACTTACTTGGCAGCCTGTGATAGCGGGACATTCGGAGATAACTGTTTGAGTACCTGTTTCTGTGCCATTGGCTCCTGTGTCCCTACTACCGGTATATGTCCCACTGGTGCTTGTCAGAAAGGATGGCAGGGGCAGACATGTAGTCAAGGTAAGTACACTAGACACTTATTTTCAACTGCATTCGCTACAACTGTAAAATAAGAATAATAAAAAGAAACGCAATGTCCGTTATCAAGTTATCAAATACAAAATTAGATTATGAAGAAATAAAAAATATATTATGAAGAATAAACTACTGCATATTTTTGCTGAGAAATGAAAGGTATAATTCAGCTTTTTCTATTACTCAGCCTGGATCATCGAACTAACTTTACTGTATACTGGCGAAGGAAACACATTATCAGTAAATATAATACCCTTTACATCATTGGTATATTCAATTATTCCTGAATCCTGGCAACTAATTGGAAAATCTAAAGCTTATGTAATGTTCTCAATAATGTATGTTGTTATATCTCTAAAGTTTGCGACTATGGGAAGTTCGGACAGGGCTGCTCTCAGGTCTGTAAGTGCGAGACAGGCACGTGTAATCCGGTGAATGGCACGTGTAAGGACAATCGATGTGAGGTCGGGTGGAGAGGCAGCACGTGTAGTGAAGGTAAATGGTGTTACTGATATACACATCTAAGAAAGAAAGGTCAATATATCATAAAATATTATAATCTACTGTTTTGAACACGTAATACGTGATGTAGATAACAATGAATGGTTTATCTTCCGTTCCTGAATGAGCAGGGAACATGATTAAACGGAACACCGATATCAGAACATTTATTCATTACTGTTTCTGTTTTATCTCAATGCTTAAAAGAAACAGTTGACATTGTGTTCTATAAGATACCATGTTCAAATAATGTAGATTTAATGTTGAACGAACATGTTTTTTATTTTCCTAGTTTGCCCAGACATGACGTTTGGCTTTAACTGTAAGAACATGTGCACGAACTGTCTAACCGGGACATGTGACCCCAAATCTGGTATCTGTACCCAGGGACAGTGTCAACCTGGCTGGTACACCGACAGATGTAATCAATGTAAGGACTCTCGCGATTTCTATATTTTCCTTAACATTTACTTTGTTAATTACCTGAAATTTGACATATGACTAGGGAACCAGGAAGTTTGGAAAAATGATTAAATTGACGTTGATCACAAATGATTTGCTATTGGTTTGGCGTTTGTCATTTTAGATCATGGAATCCTTTGAAAGAAATTAAGTTAAAACGACAAATTTGAATAAACACGTTTAATATAAGTTATGCCGCATATTAAATATCAATACATTATTTTGTATACGGATCTGCCGATTAATTTATTATATTGCGTTACACTACTATCTTCCCCTTTTAATATCATTTCACTTTTCACCTAAAAATACACTATTGTTTTCATATTTTAGTTTCGTTTTTCAATGATAAAACTGACGCATTCTCCCTTCTCCTTGTCCTGATCCGAAAGATATCTGCCACATATATATAACACACTTTTGATCAAACAATGTGTCATTATTATTTTTTTATATAGCTTGTGGATTCGGAACTTTTGGGATCAACTGTAAATTTTCGTGTTACTGTGACAAAGGCACTTGTGACACCATATTCGGCAAGTGTATCGATAATGTATGCAGGCCTGGATGGACTGGACCGACATGCAGTTCAGGTAAAACAAATATCACGACCTGTACTTATTGATTATATTTAAGCGTTGTTTTTTGTGTGTTATTAATTATGTTCACATGTGTCTATTTGTATCCAATACACACGCATTTAAATAACTTCAAATCACTCGACATTTTTTCATTTTGCTGCCGTATCACATCCAATAACAATATGACCAAAAATATTTTAGTGCAAATTCAATGACATAACACGAATACAATGTTCTCTTTTGTGACATCCTAATACGTAATTCAAATATCTACTTACCAAGAAAATACAAGTGTTTTTATGAAAGTAACATCAAAATTGGAAGTTCGTGTAATGTGCTTTATATGAATATCTAATAATTGCTTAAATATAATTAAGCTCCAGCGAGTGACCAATGCATGCTTGTTCATTTACGCTATCAGGAATTCAAGTAAATTTGCGTGAATCTGCAAGCAAAAAGTATGATATTAGTGATATTCACATTGACAATGAATGGCAGTTAAAAGTTGTTCAATGTCGACTATTTTATTAACTTGTAACAGTATGATAAAGTGTTTGTTTGGTATCATCTCCATTTATTAATAACAAATAATACATGCGTAATTTGTCGACTACAGTTGTGATATGATGTCGTCCGTCCTAATGCATCTAGACCTCTATCATTGCATTATTATGGTATGGTTTTGGTGTGGCAACATTATACGAATGTGATTTACTGTTCTGTTTCCGCTACACAGCTTGTCCCAGCGGCACGTTCGGATACAACTGTGCCAGGACGTGTCTTTGTGTCAATGGAGCCTGTGACACGGCCAACGACTCGTGTGTATGTAACCCGGGATGGCAAGGAGGCTTGTGTGACCAAGGTAGGCTTACACAGAAAACACAGATCATCATCTCTTACTACTAGTATTATGCATACATGAAAACATTCATAAACAGAAATGTTGAAGCTTTCTGTGGTATATGTGTAAAGAACGGTAACGACCAATACCTTTGCACTCCTTTAATAATAGATAGCCTATCTTTCACATTTGCATAGTGGTAAATAATTTCTTGATTATCTCTTGTAAAAACTCATACAAGAAAAAGAATCATTTGTTTTATGATAAATATAATTGAAGCTAATTTAGATGTTATAACCTACTATAGATAATAACGATATGCATTGTTATTATGTTTAAGCTTGTGGGTTTGGCTCTTGGGGAAACAAATGTTTGTCCAATTGTTACTGCGCGAGCGGAACATGTGACCACGTGACTGGGTCTTGTCCCGGTGGGAGGTGTCGACGTGGATGGAACGGCACCTCGTGTAGTGAAGGTGAGTCTGGACTTTTAGTTTGCTATGATGTCCTCAAGCTGATAGGGAATGCTTATTCATTTAAATATTAGCTTATCAGATGATAACTTCGACTAGTTTTGAGGAAACATTGATGATCTGCAAATGTCGAGTTTGCCTCAAAAACAACCCCATTAATTACTACATTAACTTGGCATTTGATTTTTGTTTTGTTTTATTCACATTAACTGAGCTCTCTTGAAAATAATTGTAAGGTAAATGGCAATATCAAGCAGTGATTGTGACGATATAACTTAATATTTCTGTGTAAGGCTGTCCTGCCGGAACATTTGGTCAGAACTGTGAGGAAAACTGTTATTGTAAGAATGGAGCGTGTGACACTGTGTACGGAATATGTCCTACCAATGCCTGCATGGCCGGGTGGAAGGGACTCTCGTGCAATGAACGTGAGTATCAAAACACAATAGAATACTTAACGAGAACGATTGTGGTTTTGCTGGTATCATTGACACATCGTGCGGGATAAATCAACAAAACTTAAAAACAAGTGCCAACGCGGGACGATGTCCTGGGGAAACTTGCTAAATACGCAATGGCTCTTGACCACTAGTTGTAATTTTAGTAAGCTGAGTTATGAATTATGTATTTAATAAGAAACAATGTAGTAAATAAAGTAGTAATGTAAACTAATGTAGTTCCATTGGTTATAACGTTTAGAAAGTTATAAGAGCAATGTCTTATTTTGTGAGACATTATAGACTTACTCACTTCACTTGAAAGTTTTATAATTTAAAACCTTCAATACTTAATAACTTCCATCTGTTAATTAAAGCTTGTCTGAGCGGCACATTTGGAGAAAATTGCATCCAGAGGTGTTATTGTGATCAATCGAGTTGTGATGTCACCAACGGAACCTGTCCTAGCGACACCTGTCAACCAGGCTGGACTGGAAACACCTGTAGTTTCCGTACGTATACATAATCCGTAAACATTGATTTGTGTTGACAGTGAAATCTCGTCAGGCCGGATGTTTTGATTTATCAATAAAATGGAATCTCGAATCCGGATAGATTGCTTCTATTATAAAATCAGTTTGCTCGGATACGTTGGTTCTTATTCCATTGAGTTATGCTAGTTCCCTACAAAATCACAATACAGGTCTTATAAATCAGGAGTCGGCCATTTTATTGATAAGTAATGCAATGCCTATTTATTACATAGATATTCTATCTTATAGCGGTGGTATTATGATATGATAATAATATCCATTTTTAAGGGATGACAATTTGTATAGTGACCTGACATGTCATTTTATCGTCTAAGAAAGATCCAGAGACATTAACTTGGTAAATACGAAAAGGACAGTCCTTTTGGAAATACCCTGGTCCATGTACGATATGTGTAACTATATATACTTTTTTTTAGTGTGTTCGGCTGGATACTTCGGCGCGAACTGTAGCCAAGAATGCCACTGTGAAACGGGTACATGTGATCCACTGACTGGTATTTGTCCCGGGAACAAGTGCCAAGCCGGCTGGCATCTTCCTACGTGTAGCGAACGTATGTAGAATCTTATTTAAGACATGGATGAATATTGGAGCTGAAAAAGCATTTGTTTGCGTGTTTTATGTAGTTGTTACATTTCGCTATTTCAGACTTAGACCTGGGAGGTTTATTGTGTTAAGGTGATATTGAGGAGACTAAAATAAATGTGCTGAACCAAATAACGAGATTTTATATCTGTAATATTTCCTATCCACACTTTCTCAGTAATCATACTGTAAATCATTTTGGTTTAGTCTTTTCGAGTTTACTAATCGAAGACTATATTCGCAAGGATTTGTATTTGGTAAAATGATTTTTTATTTATGATAGTATCAATGGAATGTGACACGTGTAGTAAAAGTTTTTTTTTTTTTTCATATTAAATATTTTTGATATTTTTGATATTATTTGATATGAGGTGATGGCGATTTCTCTCGGAGGTGACTTTTGCTATTTTGGTTTTCGTTGAGTATTGTTGTTACGTTCAGTTTTTTAGCGTGTAGGTGGGGGTTTATTTTGTTTTCCATGATAGGACATGTATTGTATTTTGTTTAGAATTATTGTTTCAAGGCTCTGTTAATTTTTTACAACATATTTCTAACGAATAATTTTGTATATGTTTTCTCAGATTGTGACGCGGGCTACTTCGGTGACGGCTGTACCAGTAAATGTGGCGAGTGTTCGGGTAGTGCCACGTGTCACCATGTGAACGGTTCATGTCCCGCGGACGTCTGTGAATCTGGCTGGTCTGGCGTACAGTGTCTGACGGCGTCGGGTAGGTAGACAGCCTCTGATTGGATGAAACATATCTCAAAAGTACATGTTATCTCTGTTCAACTTTTCACATAACATGTTCAATAATAGAACCAAAGTGTTCACCAAATTCAATGTAATATTTATAGCTTTGTTAATTTAATTCAGGTGTCGGAAACTATTTTTTTATAAATAGGGTTGATTGATTAATGATAACTCAATGATGTAATATCAATTACTCATGACTGTTGAACTTGCTTATTTCATTGTAAAAATATTATTGTTGATATTACTTTCAGTTTTCATGCAATTGCAATTATTTCGCGAACTGATCGTATGGTACATATTATTGAGGACTTCGATTTATGCATAAATAAGTGTTTGTGGGTTTTTTTCTCGCGTTGATTTGTACTTAACAATTTACGCAAATGTATGTGAAACATATGTACAACTTGAAATGTAAATATGACGTCGCAAAAATTATCCATTAAAATCTGTTATGCTTACAATATATTAAAAAAACACATCACAAATGTAAAAACCTCTAGTATAGTACTCATGCATCTATGTACTTATGTTTCAGCTCAGAGTGCTAGTGTAAGCGTTGCTGGTATTATCGGTGCTGCTGTCGGACTGCTGGTATTGATGTTGATTGTACTCCTCATCGTGCTGGTCGTAGCGCACAGGTATGTCCATACTCTCAGCAAAAAAAAAAAAAAAAAAAAAAAAAAAAAGAAACTGAAACTTGTACAACCTGAACTCTGAATATTTCATCATCCTGCCTAATCTTACGCAAAACATTCCCATTTTAATTAAAAAATAAACCTCCCAACTTAAGCTGTGCATTCGGACATACTGTCTAAAGTGTATAATATGTTTTGTCCCACAAGTACCGAAATAAACAGGTTTTTACTGCATTGGTTTGTAAAGCACTTTTTATCATATGGCGATCTTATTTCGAGGTTAAATAATTTTATTGCATTTAAGGGCAACCATTGTGACGGTTTGCTTGTACAGAAACTTTTTTGATATAATTCAGAATAATAATATACAATATTTTTTACTTCGTGCATCAGCTAAATTATTGTATTATTAAGTGCTTAACAAAAATGCATAAATAATCAAATATATGAATTATTCAACCAGTAAATTACTTAATTATATCAAATGCTTTGTTTTTCAGGAGAGGACGAAATACAGACCGGGAAAGAATGATGAACTCTATAGCAACCCTTTACGGTGATAATAGAAGCCGTATGTATCACATGTGATATTTATCAGAGATGCCATCGCGACTCTCGGAGATAACGATTTCTGAAAGACATTGAAAAAAAAAGTTAACAAATTCTTCGCAATATTGACTTCAACTCGTGCCATGTGTGTTTGGAATCTTATTTGTGAATTCTTAACTTTTATAAAGTAAAGAGGACAAAGACGCTATAAGGAAAAATGTATTTACAATTTTCAGATAGTATTGGTCTAGTGTCCCTTATGGTGATAACACTATTGAAGTTTAGACGTTGGACTTCGCATGTTTTTGTATATGATCCGTGTTGTTATTTTTTTTTATTTATAAATAAAAAATATCTTCTCCTAGACGTTTTGTTGTATTAACTTATCACTATAATCGGAAAATCATGACAAAATTGTGTAAAACGATGTCCGAAGTTTTACTCTACAATCGATTGATTGTTAATTTGAAAAGTCGTGAAATAATGGCACAATGAAATGTCTGTTTTATGTGATTCACATTATACTTTAGAGCCTAAGTATTTTCATTTATTGTGAATTATCATACTGTAAGTTGTAATATTCCAGCATACTAATTGAGTCATTGTCATCCCTGTTAGCAATTTTTTTTGTTTAAGAATACACAATAATTGATATACACAAAGAGGCAACATATCCACCTAGATATATATTCTGTATGTACAATGGGTACAAAATATTTTGCCTACAATACCATTCTTAGTTTAGGTCGACTTACTGAACACAAATAACACTATGTTTTAAAGTGGTGACATTTAAAAGATTACTCAACGTTATTCAAAGTTTATCATAGGTCTTTTTATGTTGATCTAACACTACTTGTTCTGTGTTTTGTAATCATACAAAAAAGTTAATTGATAGTGTTGATCCTTCCTATCACAGAAATTCTCAATTTCTATATATTTAATTATCCTAGCTTATATAAAAAAATAAAAATGTTTTTCACTTTCTAGAATCAAGGAACGTCTTATATCGGGACGGTAGTATGGACAGCAATGCGCCGTGCTCAAAGACCTATCATGTAAACAGTCTGACGCGAAATTCTTTCGACAATGAACTGTTTGTGGATAGCTGTAACGATGCTATTCCCAGGGAGTTTCGATCCCTGGGCAACTCGACTGAAATGTACGACTGGAGCAGTAACGCTAGCCTGAATGAGTACAATGAGGAATTCAGTTCAGGCACAATACCCCACGAAACTAAAATGAAAGTACAAGGATTTGAAGAGTCAGTGGCTACTAAGAAACAACTGGGACGTCTACAAGACGAATTTAAGGTTTGTTCTGCATTTCTAAGCCATAGTTTTCGTTTTGACTCTGATTAAATGCTGACTGCACTGTTGCTAATTTCCAGTGTTATAAAGTTCTCGAACTAATAAAGGGAATTTGAATACCTATATTAATAATATTCAAGTTTTTCATATTTTTCGCGAAATGCAAGCTTTGGCCGTCTGTCAGATTGTTTCATCTCGCCTCTAAACACATCAATGGGTTAAATATATTTATTGTTGTAGTTTTAAGTATCTCCTCTGTTTTTGTTAATGTCAGTGTGTATTGACATTTTACCGCTCGGATCTTGCCCTTGTGAAATGATACTATAGTATTTTTTTCTGTTTTAATCTGTAAATCATTCCCGACCTATTAATGTTTATGAAACCGAACCGCTTCAGTAGCAACGCTTCGGTAATATCATTAACTATGAAGGAAGAAACTAGAAGATGTTCATTCAATATGAGGTTGTCTTTACAGCATCTACCGACAGGTCTGCTGTTCTCCTGTGAAGTGGCTGAACGACTAGAAAATAGGACAAAGAATCGCTACAAAACGGCACTTCCATGTACGTATGACGACCGGTTCTTTGTTTCAGACAATTCGTCAGACTACAACTTTTTTTCTTTTTTTTTTAATAGCATCCATCTTGCATAATGTTTTATTAGGTGTACGCTATTTTCGAATCCTAACTGCATTATAAAAATGTACCAAAACAATACTGAACGTCATATTTGCATCTCTAGACTTTTGAATCTGCCAATGTCTTACATGTATGTATTAAAAAGGAAATAAAGTCACTGTTTTTCGATTTTTTTCTCTTCGGTCATCCCAAAACCTATACCACCGCTCTGGTGGCCGTTATTTTACATTAAATAATGGGAATCGTGAGTCGCATTGTGTTCAAAATGCGATATTTATAACATTCCACTATTAAGTTTGGGTCGATTTGATTTTTTTCAAAAGGAAAAAGGAAATTTCATAAATATACCCAAGGATCATTCTGCATCGGCTTTTGAAAAATCGTCTCAAGCCTTGCTTGTTAAACTTGATGAAATTTCAAAACAGTATTCTTATCATAAAAAAGAGTGATAATTTAAGGTCCATTATTTAGAATTTTGATTATTTAATGTGGCGTTTTGATTATTACAGCGATACAAGAGCAAATAATATCAATTTACTTATACAAATTTATCCACGTCTTCAATAGGCATTGCATTCCAATTCTAGTGAGGTGTCTGTTGTACATATTTTATCTTGTATTTGTACATTGATGATACTTATATGCTACAGATGACCAGTCCAGGGTCATACTACGCCACAGGCCAGGACAGACGGACTATATCAACGCTAGCTTTATACAGGCAAGTTCGTACTTATGTTTTCTCTGACGTGGACCCCTGGACATTTTCTCATCGCATGTCATCATAAGAGGCGACTAATGTGCTGTCACCTGCAGAATCAATGGATTTCATAAATGTCTTCAATAGGGAATTTTACCCTTCAACACTTCGTATCTATAACTTTTTTTCTACCTTCTGTTTTTTTAACGTTATCTTCGTAGGCAACCGTCTCAATATGAATTCAGATGATGTGAGGTCGTAAAAAGAAAGCAAAAGTCTGAGACGTAACTGTATATAATTATTGCAATTATGTTTGTCATGTGATCAAATGCACGCATCTCATTCGGTAAATGGCTCATTGAAACAAATGGCTATTTGCAACTTAAAACTGACTAGCAAAACATTAACTGGCTTACGTCTTTCTTTCTGAAAATTGGCAAATATTTTTTGCTGTTGTATTGTAATAAAAGGGGGAAACAGAAACTTTTTTATATGAATAGATAAACATACTGATCATCGGATTTCTGTTTATAAACAAAATATTTCTACACACATATTTGTTTCCATATTTGAAAAATATTGGACTAATGATATTGGAAAAAATCTGGAACCGTAAAGAAGATGAGGGGCTTCTTTTACATATCAAACTGTTAGGAACCGTCTTATTTATGTCATATAATCACGTAATAAATCATTCTTGTTTACAGAGTGTAGGGAGCGATGACCGATATATAGCCTCACAGGGTAAGTAATGTTTGGCTAGGATCGCGTAATAACGTGACATTTTGTGCAAATATAATATAAACATTTTCTTTTTCTCAGTATTATTTTGACATTTGAATGAAGAAGTTATAATAGTACTGTTTCGTTAAAGATAGCTCTGTACAGTTTGTACGTATTCTTACTATCGAGTTAATTCGTTCATTCAAATTAACCGAAAAAAAACCCAACACCGACGCAAAAAAAAATTTATTACTGAAATCATGTAAATTTGTGCCAAAGAAAGCTTTCATTCAAATTGAAATGATCTGAAAATCGTAATGTTTTCGCAGATTTATATTTCCTCAACTACACAACAAATGACTTACTATCCTGAACCAGAATTCACGTTTAAATAAAACGGGCTATATGACATTATTTTTTAATTTAAGTTAAATCATCGAACGCATTTATTGGAAAATATAATCGTTTTTCAGTGTTTTATTTGTCTTTCTGCATATCACAGGTCCTAAAGATAATACAGGCTGGGACTTCTGGCGAATGACATGGGAACAGCATTCCAATAAAATCGTCATGCTCACTAATCTACGGGAAAAGGGAAAGGTAGGTTATCTTTATATTCAGAGTAGTTACTATATAGACTAAATGATTTAAGTTCCCAATTATCCATCTTTGAAACAAGCGCTGTAAATAAGCAACATGTAAATAATGTTGGCGTTAGTACTGTTGTTTTGTTGGCTTCAGACTATACACCAATCAGAGGATTGGAGAATACCTATTTGAATTGATCATTGAGTTTAATATCTGCGATAAAATGTATTTCGCAAAATGTAACTCATTTACAGAAAATATAGTTGAATAATAAGTATGGCATTCTGGTTGTTCTACAAATATACAACCAAATATCAACCCATTAACTTTATCTTATAACATACGCTGTTCATTTATAAAAATAAAATATTGTTTTAAACTATAAATATTCTACTAATACAAATTACAATGTAACATAAAATATCCGTGGGTATTTTTTCTCTGTTTAAGTTAACAAACTGTTTTGATAGAACATTAGTTTTGTACTGGAGTCAATCAAGTAGTTCATATCTCCCCTATAAAAGTTTTATCATGGCGAATACTAACTCCAAAAGTCCAATTTATGATACAAGTAAACAATGTTCAGTAGAAATATTTTATATACTTTCACCACATTACAGAGAAAGTTTGCCTTCAAAAGAATACACCGATACGTATTTAAAGAATTAAGGTAAAGTCGACTTTAAGGTATGTTTGCCATAAAGAGGCGGCAGATTTTACGCCTAGGCATTATTTCGAGGTTTTACTGTATGCCAAATCGAAATTTCTCCAATCTATCATACATTCATATATATTCACTACAATAACCCTTTTAAGAGAACACCCCCGTTCATTTGATTTATGCAATACATTGGTATTTGTACAGGCCAAGTGTTCTCAGTACTGGCCGACTCTTGGACAATCAATGACCAATAAGGAGATGACCATCACAACCCTGGAGGAGAAGTGTGAACTCTATATCACCACCATACTTATCAACATCAGAGACGAGAAGGTACCTACATGTTGTCTTGTTTTGTTGATAATGCAGACATAATGTTGCTTCCTTTTACCGAATATTAGATCGTACTCTAATTTCGTAACCATTCCGTGTTCTAAGAGTTGGCTGAAGGGTTATTATGCATAGTTTAAACTGTGAAAATTAACAACAAGATTTTTACTCAGCTTACCATACTTGTACAAAGCATGTCTACTGTGAATGTCGAAATTGACTATGGGCAAAAATAGATTTTCCAATCCAGGGCGAATATTTAACTGGGCGACAATTCCAGTACAGTATATAGATATGGCATACTTATGCACGTTTCCTTCCGTCATAACAATAAATAATGGGTGGTTATGCTCATCTAACACTCTTTTTATAAATTTTCAAAAATATTTCATTTAAACAGTATAATTATTCTCTATAGACAAAAGAGAAAAGAACGGTAAACATCTTCCACTTCCTGGCCTGGTCGGACCACGGAACTCCAAATCCATTCAGACTCGCCCTTTTCCAGCGTCAGGTAGACAAAAGTGTTGGTCAGCAGTCCGGACCGGTCATCGTCCATTGCAGGTTCGGTTTATAAGATTAACTGTACACTATATGATAAAGGTAAATACTTTTGGTATTGCCTAGACGTTATATCAGTTAAACGTCAACTTTTAACTATTGAAATTCAATAGATTTTAAGGTATCTATTAAGTAGGAATATAGCTTTATTAGAATTTTACGCAAAGGGACACAACTGATTAAGGTTGAATAAGCAGAAGGCGGATTAGTTTCGCGACAACTAACGTCACGCTACCACAATTGGTACAATTTTGATAGTTTTTCAGCGATATTTGAAAATTCACGATATCACAGGTTTTGAAACTTGTTTTTAATTTTACTAGTTGATGTGCCTATTGCAACAAAAATTATTGCTTTTATAAATACCATGCTAAACTACATTTGTTTACATACACTTTTATTAATACTATGCTAAACTACATTTGTTTACATACACTTTTATAAATACCATGCTAAACTACATTTGTTTACATACACTTTTATAAATACCATGTTAAACTACATTTGTTTACATACACTTTTATAAATACCAAGCTAAACTACATTTGTTTACATACACTTTTATAAATACCATGCTAAACTACATTTGTTTTCATACACTTTTATAAATACCATGCTAAACTACATTTGTTTTCATACACTTTTATAAATACCATGCTAAACTACATTTGTTTACATACACTTTTATAAATACCATGCTAAACTACATTTGTTTTCATACACTTTTATAAATACCATGCTAAACTACATTTGTTTACATACACTTTTATAAATACATGCTAAACTACATTTGTTTACATACACTTTTATAAATACCATGTTAAACTACATTTGTTTACATACACTTTTATAACATCTAGTTATAAGGAGCAGAACTCAATATTTAAACATGTTTTTATTTAACCCCTTCAAATCTTCCAAAATTTCGTCGATGTACGTCATTTTTACTGGTTTTCTGATATGTTTACTTTGAAGTCATCATGTACTCTTAAAATGTTCCGTTCCTGAAAACAAAACTATTCGGTGGAATTGCTGATAAATATCTATTTTGTTATACTGTCAAAGGAAAATGCTCAAATTTAATTTTAAAGTACTATTCGAACCATTTTCTGGTCGTGTACCAATTTTGGTAGTGTACCAATTGTGGTAGCGTGAAGTTAAGCGTATTGTTTAGATAGGATGAAACATGCTCTGTCCGACTGGGTCGACTTAGATATGACAGGATGTCTGCCCAGTCCGACTGGGTCGACTTAGATAAGACAGTATGTCTGCCCAGTCCGACTGGGTCGACTTAGATAAGACAGGATGTCTGCCCAGTCCGACTGGGTCGACTTAGATATGACAGGATGTCTGCCCAGTCCGACTGGGTCGACTTAGATATGACAG